GATTACTATTTTAACAATTTTTGTTTTCCATAAACTTTCCACAATCAACAAACAAAAATACAAAATTTCATAACAATGAAACAAAATTGAATTAAGTAAATTTATGATATGTATTTGAACAAATATAAAAGTTTGTTACTATTTACTAACATTTTTAAAGTTTCAATAATCATAAAGTGACAGTTGCTGACACCAAATATGAGTTGTTGAAAGAAAAATCGACCATGCTCATAATCAACATAATTAAATGTTTGCAAGAAAGAAAAACAACAAATGACTTCATATAAGATTAGAAAAAAAGGATTGACAAATGGGGTGGGGTCAAAAAGTTTCCCTTTAGAAGCATATTCCATCACAATTGCCAAATGGGCTCTAATCATCATAAACCCAAAACTAAATCCTAACTTATGAAATTGAGAAAACAAAGACGAAAGAAGGGGCATCGATACCTGGCTGCTTAATGTATATATAAAAGGACAGATGAAGAAGATAGTATTCCAAAGGGGGGATGTTTTGTTGAATATAAATAGTCAAAGGAACGAAAGTAAAAATAGTAAAAAAGGATACATGCTTTAAGTACATCAGCGCCTGCATCTTCTAGCCATGTGTTTTGGCATATTTATAAACATCATATATGATGGATACCGCATCATAGTTTGAACTGATATACCTGAACAAAGATGTATTAAAGTCCATCAACACATGGATTAGAAGGATTGTTATGGAACTTAATTCCAAAAGACACGATGGAATGGAATCTGAAATTCCAATTCCATCGGAATCTAAAAACCAAACAGAGCCTCATCCAAAAATTTATCGTTTTCATATTGCAGAGCTTGATGGCTTAGTGAGTGATGGGCGGTGACTTGCCTATGTTATTATAGATATATAGTTGAGTATCAAATATGTTTTACATAGTATGTTAAAGTTATACCACCCGCTGCAGGATATGATGCATAAAATTGATCACCTCTTGAGAATTCAGCTCTTGTCCTGAAAAAATTGGAAAACAAACTATAAAAGCCAACGATTTCCTATGATTAGTGAAGTACGAATTTGTCTAGTTGATCAATTTTTGAACAGTCTGCACTACATTCAATTGAAATTGACAAACTTATTAATTAATTTAAAAAATAATGAAATAATGAATAGGGATTCAGTCGGTTAAAAGGTGGCTACTTTTATAATGAAAAGAAGGCCTGCTTAAAAATGTGAAACATATCGCACATAATAATAGCTAAAAATGGAAATTGTTCATTAATATTGTCAATTGTTGAACAAAAATATATGTCAATAAATATTAACTCAAAATTTTACTTATTCTAAACATCAACAGAATTCTTAACATCACCTAATATAAAAATGTAAAATGAAACTTTGATAAGCTGATTAATGGTTTACCTAAAGTCCCTTAAAAAAAAGGCAAAACCTGATAAGTCAAACCAAAAAGGAGCAAAATGGTTCATTGTTTCTTGTATAGTTAGGAATTCTTTATGTATGTAAGATCACACAATGTGTCATCAAAAATAGTAAAGAATCCAATTTTATCAAATTTATAAAACAATCGGTCTAAAACAATTGAAAGTAAATAATCAGCAACTAAACCATCAAAATGACAAAATAGTTCAACATTTGTTATGTAAACTACAGAAAATTAGTATGATAAGAAACTTTTTAAATAATCGCTCCAAAGCACAAAGACATGAACCAATCAAAACCAAAGCACAAAATCAACAATTAAATTACAAAAAAGGCATTTAGTGCAAAATACATTTGAATTGGAGTCAAATAACTTATACATAAATAAAGAAAGTCTAATAAGCTATTGGAAGATTAGACTAAGACAGTAAGATAACAAATATAAATTCTAACCACAGAAACAGCAAGTAACTAATGGGTTTGGGAAATGTCACCTAAAAGGAAACCTGATGACTAAAACCAAAACGAAGAAAAAATGGGGTTCATGATTTCTTTTTTACAATCGATAGAAAAGTTGTACAATTAGGAAACTTTAATGCATGTAAGACTACATGCATCCTCAATAAATAGTAAAAACTTCATCATTCAAGTTTATAAGAGTATCAATGAAACAACCACACGGAAACACATTAATGCAAAACAACAAACATCAATATACAGATGAATTGGAGCCCAATAACTTACGTAGAAAAAAAAAGGCTACATTTATTGGATTGTAAGAGAAAACGAAGTGTAATTTGGGAAAGAAACTGGTAATGTTTTGTATCATGGAATTGGGGAAGCAATGGAATGGAATGGTTGATTCCGGTTAGAAAATAACCCATTTATATTTAAGTAATATTTAATGACATAATTTTTTTTTGGCCTTTCATGATTTTAGTAACTCATTTTTTTCTAGAAATTAACTATATTTATTTAGCGGTTGATTGAATGGAAAACACGAACATTTTTTTAAGTTATCAAAATGTTGTGTCTTTTATGCAAAAAATATTTTATACTTATTTGCATAAAAGAAATAATATGTTGACCACTTTTTCAAAGAGACAAAATCTTTTTACGTAAAAAGGCAAAAACGGAAAGTTAGGTCACGATTTTGGTTTAGATTGTAAATTAAAATTTTAGGTCTTACCCCCAAAAAGGTCAAAATGTTGTATTTTACGCAATTAACACTATTTTTTATTATAATCTGATCTGAGTTTTAAATTTTAATAAACTTTTAGTATGGTTAATTTTGTATTTTTGTACACATTTACATATACTATAAAAAAGTTTAAATGAAAATTCATTCGCTTCCTACTGGCCAACAAAACATGATTATGGAATGTAATAACACATTCCATTACCTTGTTCACTCCATTCCATCCATCCAATCAAACCCTAAAAGGAAATTCTTGTAAACCACTATCTCAAAAAAAGGTAAACTAAAAAATTTTAAATTAAAAGTAAACCCAATCCATTAATGGTGTCACTATAATAGCTTCTTTGGCAGATCCTGTAGTAGAAACTCAGACCTTACTAACCCTTTGTATGCTAACTTAAATTTGAGTTATAATTAAAAGAAGTTTAGACTGACCAAGTCGTTCACCTTCCTTTCTTTCTAGTTGTATCTTTGCACTTGGAAAATTCTTGACCAAAAAAAAGTATTGACCAACTCCAGGAGCTCTATCATGTGTTTGTAGATCAACCTAACCATAGGCAAACAGAAATCAAAAATTATTTATATTAGTATCAAAAATTAAGCCAACTATGTGAAACCAGTAGGATGACTGTTCACCAAGCATAGCTAGTTTCACCATAGATTCTAATTTCTATCAATTATCTGATTCGATACTTCAATCATTAGAAGTATCAGACCTTTTCAACATACATATCATCTAGTCTTACTTACTGCAACAAAAATGAGATGACAAAGAAAATTTATATTCTTAAGACAAAAATTGTACAGAATTGCTATGTGATACAGTAATTACCTTATTCAAAGAGATTATCATAAAAGAGAGCACATTAGGTAAATGGTTTCCTCCATACTTCACACCACCTTACAATCTTCGATCTCACCATACTTGACAAACGCATTGGTTAGAATCTCAGCGTGCGTAATCTTACCGGTTCTTTGAAGCATTTCATCAAACAGTTGATGTGCATATTCAAATCTGCCAACTATGAACAAAAAAACACAATCTAATAAGCCCCAAATTAGTTTCTTTTTTCACAAAGAAGGTTTGTCCAAAATTACATGACTTCATTATGTCAAAATAAAATCACTCTATAAGGTAAGGACTAATGAAACAAAGATGCACTGATTTTGAACTACAAATGTAAGTGACTACAAAATCCAATAATCAAAATCAATTGGTTGAGCTATCATTTGACTAAAAAAATAGATACAATGTCCATAAATGACTACAAAAATCAGAACACAAAATCAATTGACCAAACTATCAATGAAAAGTCGTATTCCATGATATGACGTTTCATTCAGACATTTTATCAAACACCCTTTGTACATAATTTAGTTTACCATGTTTTGTTTACATGTCAATCACAGAGTTTTCAAAAATCACACAGAAGGGAATTTTAGACTAAAGGACAGGGATGTGAGTGTGTTTACCTGTTTCATATGTTGTAACCAAAAAACCACCAGAATTTTCAAAATCGAAAATCATAAAAACAGATTTCAGCTTTAGGTGAAAGCCCAAATAAAAAACACGACAGTGATTTTTAGTGAGAGGAGACTCAAAAAAGGGAATGAAAGGCGGTATGGCTGCAAACACCGGTTGCATATTCCAATCGGATATGCCTTCCGAGTTACCTTGCCAAAATACGGCCTTCAACTTCACCCATGGTCGACGTTGCAATTTTTTTCACAAACAAAGCTCATCATCGCCTCAAATCTTTGTACAGAACAATCAAAATCAGAACCCATCAAAGGAATTACAAGTGAATGATGAAGACCAGAAAACGTCAAACGAAACAATCAAAACCACAAGAAAGGAACACATAATCGCAAGATAGGGAGAAACAGAAATCCAAAAGCGCGAGGTGGAAACTGAAATTAGAAGGCAACATATACCGAGAAGCCAACGTCTATCTACAATTACTTTAAGGCGGTTCTTTAAGACGGTGAAGACTAAAAAAAATATCCGGTGCCAAAAGCAGAAAGCGAAGGAAAAAAGGGTACAAATGACAAATGTAAAAGTTTGTTTAAAGCAACCTTCCCGTGGCAAAATCAGTAAGCGAAGAAAATTTAAGTGGCAGAAATGAGAAAGCAGAAAGTCTACTATTCACCATCCTTTTAAGGATTAATAGTATATACAATTAATTGTTTTTAGTGGACTAAGCTCCTACGATCTAACTTTCGGGCTAATTAATCACTCCAAATTGTGTAACAAACATGGTCTATAAGACCAACAACGTTTGCATACTTGTCATCAAACAATACAAAATTCGTAAAAATATATGTACCCAATATATTCACAGTGATTCATTTATCTCAAATGAATCAAGTTTATGGAATATATTCAATATGGTAGCAGTTTGTGCTTAAGAGGCGAATCTATATTGTCTTGTAACAACCTTCCTCTAGTCTCAAACGGAAGCAACACAACACTTAGGCCCAAAAGAAGTGTGGTTACCACAAACATGATCAGAGGAAGTGTTTGGTGGCAACCGCTGCCAATCCCAGCTGCTATCAGAGGGCAAACAATGCCCACAATTTTGCCAAGTGTCATCGCTACTCCAACTCCTGTTGCCCTAAAATTGGAAAGACACACCTACAAAAACCCACAAAAAATTTTACTAATTTTGAGAAATATATAGTAAATCTCAAGTTTTTTGTCCAGCTTATGAAATATCAAAACTTTAATGATATTGTTAAGGGAAATATCTAGTATTAATTTTATTTACACAAAAGCATAAAATGTCTCCATAAAAGTCTTCTTATTTTGGCCGAATTTATAAAAAAAGTCATAACTTTTTTATTTACTTCAACTCTTTTACTTTTTTATAAAAAATCTAGAAATTTCTTGGTTTAAATTATGAATAGGAGTAAACCTCATTAAGTTCTAAAGTATTAAGGATCAAAGTCCTCTATAACCACTTACTTGCCACAAAACAATGGCGATTGTGAACTCATCATGGTCTATATAATCCCTTGCACAAATTTATGTTACATATTTTGTAAGAGATTCAAATTATATAAACTATGTGTTAAAAACCTTATTACAATCTATCTAACTATAGGGTAAAAATCATTTCGTTAATTACTTTACATGTCAATAAATGTGAACTTAGGCGCTCCAAAACACCAAGACCATAGGAAATGGTGTGTGTTCTTCTATGGATTCACTTCTATGATTGTTTTTTGTTTGACACATGAATGTTTAAAATGAAGTTATGTTTTAGATGTCATATACTAATACATAATTAAGCCTAGTAATGCAATGATGGACTTGGTCTCGGTTTGGTTTGTGCAAAAGACATCAATGTCCTCCATTTACACATAGCAAATAGCCCTGAAAGTATAACAAATGGTTAGAATCATGGAACCTCTTATACCAAAAAATTTCAAATCTTTGGTGAAAGAGTAAAAGAGTTGAAATAAAAAAAATAAAAAATTAAGTTTTTTTCATAAAGTCGTCAAAATAATGACTTTTCTTGAGGTAGAAAATTGTTGAATTGAGTTTGAAATTTTTTCATAAACTTTGCCAAAATATTTGGACTTTACTGCATATTTCCCTACTTAATAAATAAACATGTAGTTAATTGTAGCTTTAACTTTCCAAAAAGCAATATGTTGCATTTCTCATTAATAATCTATCTTATAGTAAAAACTGTTGCAATTTTTATACCTCTGGGGCACAAATTTGGGAAACGATGAAAGTGGCTGAGATAAAGACACGTGCTCCAAAGAGATAGGCTGTGGTTGTTATTGTGTTCTGATGAACAACCAGGGGCAGTAAGAGAATTAATCCAGCTATGATCATGATTTCCATGGAAATCCTCCGCCCAACCTTCACCAGTATCAAAGAAGCTAAAGCAAGCCCAGGAAGCTCTGCAAAATACAATCCGGTCAAACATGTAATTGTAAATACTTTTATCTTTATAAATCAAGAGCAAACACACTTTGAAATATTTGTTTATTATATGATCATGCTTTCACCCCTTTTAATAGCTTTCCCAAAAACTATATAGAAGAAAAGTTCAAAGGGTACCTGCGAAGCTAGTGATGAACATATTCATATGTATACTTGGCATGCCACATGTACCACTTTCCTCAAAGCATATCTGTGACATAAAGAATCCTATGCCATAGTATGTGAAAGAAGTGGCAACCAGATAAAAACCGTTGTTCTGATTGACTGAGGAAGAGAGTATCCAAAATGGAACTGAACACATCCCGACACCTGACCCTCAATAGACATAGCAGTCACCTTTACCGTATTGGTGACAAGTATGCTAAATCTCCCTTGTGTATGAAACTGGTGTCTTGGAGGTTGTTTCACAAGGCCATAATATACTAGTGCCAAAAGGTATGGTAGGGTAGACACTCCAAGAAGGTGTCTCCATCCAAATCTATGCATAATCCACTGCAATGCAACCAAATTTTACTTTGGATCATCTTTTGATGTATAAGAAAACATATTGAAAGTAAGGTGTTGTAATTAAGTAGATATTTGATAGTACAATGTCTTAATAAGAAAACCTTTTATTGAAACTACAATTATGTGATACAAACATAAAAAGGGATGCCATAATAAAAAAAGTTAAGTGAGATAAATTGTTCTTTCTTGCATATATCATTTTATATACAACAACTTTGAGTCATACATGACAATTTATGCTTTAAAGGGTTGTACAATATGCAAATTGTACAACCATCTAAAGCATAAACTGTTGTGTATAGCAAAAAGTTGTTGTATGTATGCAATCTTAATATTATCGATATACCGTGTAAGGGATAATTTTATATATATAGCCTTATTAAGCTTCAAAATATCCTAGTTACCCATTGTAAAATGCAAATATTGCATATACCCTTTTTAACTTTCAAGATATGGTATATGCCCAAATCTCTTTTTTGAACATCTTTTCAGAATTTATAAGCATTTATTATTTTTCAAAATCATTAAATTTTAAAAGAAAATAACAAATTGACCATACTACCCTTAAATAATAAAACCCTTTTTGACATAAAATGCTTTTACCCAATTGCCCTTTGACCCATTAGAATCATCACGTACATACATCCTCAACCTATATGCTAGAGACAAGTTGCAGAGCTTTGTAAAGAACAGGAGAAAGAAATTGAAGTTGTATATTCCTGTAATAAAATCAAAGCATTTAGTTGACTGTTACTAATGAGTTTTCCTTAATTTGAAGTTCAAGTCATTTACTTGAGAGTTCTTAAATCAAAACTAATATTTCAATACAAATGAGACTGGTTGGAAGATGACAAGACAACGTTGGATGCTCAAGAAAAAATGGCACTAAAAAGCAGCAAACGATTCAATAGGAAAGCTGGACAATAATCTTCAGCCATTTCATGTCATTACTGATGATAAAACAACATGGGAGAAGTCTGCAATTGTATATTTAGCAAATAATCTGCAAAAGCATAAAAGCACAAACTTTGGTGGAAAAGAAAGAGACAAGACACAATGGAAATGCTTGCGAATGTGGTACTTCCAAGCAATTCGAGACAACAAACTTCAATTTTATTTGAGGGTAGTATGGTCAATTCATTATTTCTTTTAAACTATAATGATAATAAATTATGAAAAAAAATGTAGAAAGGAGATTTGGGCATATACAATATTTTGAATGTTAAAAAGGGTATATATGGTATTTGGATTTTAAGATGGGCAAATATGATATTTTGAAGCTTAACAAGGGTATTAAACGCTCATTAACAGTGCACAAGAATTAAATCGAGAAACTTTTATGAAGGAAATTATGAATTAAATACCTAAACCCACAGGGAAACAATAAAAGATATATGTTCTCATTACTTTTAGGGAATAAATTTGAAATTCAATTAAAATCATAAAACTTTCATAAGAAATATCTTTGGGACATGTACATACCCAAGCAATTGCAGCTTCAATCATTGTGGCAAATGTCCAAGAAGCTGAGAAGACAGTCATCCATGTCCCTCTATTTTGAATGGGAACAAACTCCAGAAAACTTGATGCTAGCATATGTGCACATCCAATACCATATCCAGCAAAAAAACGGAGAATCAACAATGATATGTAATTTGGTGCAAATGCACTCAAAAATCCAGCTATTGTTGATACTAAAGAGATGCCAAGAAACCCTTTCCTGAAAGAGCAAAACAAAGGGACTTAGAACATGTTAATTGCCAATGATAATTAATAGACATACAGGCTAAAGGCTCCTAGTAAAGAAACTTACTTAGTTCCATAGAAATCTGAAAAAAGATCCCAAGAAGATGCTCCAACTATGATGCCTGTAAATGCAACAGCAGACAAACAACTCTCTTCAGCAGATGATAGAGCCCACTCGGGCTGAATAGCTGCTCCAACAAAAGACAGAAGCATCATTTCCATAGCCTCAGCAACCCAGCCCAACCCAGAATAAGAAAGAACCATGAATTGAACTTTTGCAAAACTAATTACGGGTAGAGCTTCTTCCAAAGTGTATCCCATTTCCAAATCTTCAATCTGATAGATTAATGGTAAACAGAAAACACATTAAGAGCTTGGGTCTTAAAGATTCTGGTATTAATGTGAAGAAAGAGAAAGATGGTCGTTAGGTTTTGAAGACTGATTAGTTTCAGTTCTGATTGGGTTTTCCAATTTCTATAAACGCCATTTCAAATCAAATCCCTAATTTGGGATTATTATACTGCAATAAGAGTTGATATGATCCCATTTACACATCTAATTCAACATTTCTCTCTACATCTCCTTCTCTCATACACACACATACACCCAATTCGTCGATTGTACATTTAGGGATATAATCACTCTCAGATGCAAGAACAGTTTGTATGCAACTTCAGGGAAAACAAAATATGAAAAGTAAAAAATAAACAAATTAATAATTCAAACCTGCAATCTCTCCATTGATAGATTACCGAAATCTTTCTCCATTGATGGATTACCGAAATCTTTCTCTTGAGGTTGGAACTTCAAACTATTCAAACTAAATTCTCGAACTAGAACGGAGCAACGGTTTGTTGATCGCAGAAGTTGCAAGATGAGATTAAGGACTTCGAAGTTCGAAGAGATCAGCGAGAGAAATTGGGGTGTGGATTAAACAATTGAAGCGCGATGACGATTACAAGATGTTTGAAATTTCGCTCTATATTTTTCTGCAATTTTTATTTTTTTGTTTTTTTATGTATTTTTGTTACGGTAACTTAGTTATAGATCAAAACCCAAATATACACAAAGTAGTCCAATTGTCTAAAGTTTTTAAAGTAGCCCAAAGGTGATCAAAGCCCAAGTTTTAATATCCAACTATGAAATAAGATGTAGTACATATTTATTTTAAGGGAACCAAAAAAAACTTATCCATCATTAAACGTTAATTGTATCAAATAAGAAAATCAATTTTTATTTTGTTTTTTAAATATCAACAATTGTAATTTTTATCGATTAAAATAACAATGAACATCGCTACTACCCTTGTCACATCTAACTAAAAGCCTATTGTAATCATTTTTTTTCAAACAACAACCGACAACCAGTAGCAACATTTTGTTTTGTGATGTTGTCATTTTAATCAGTGAAAATCTATAACGTTGAAATCGTAGTTTGAGAAAATAACTATAATAGGCTATTAGTTAGACGTGACAAATAAAATGATAGTATTCATTGTCATTTAAATCGATAAAAATCCTAATTGCTGGTATTTTAAATCAAAAATAAAAAGTTGGTTTGTTTATTGGATAAATTAAAAAAGTTTACTGACCTAAAAAGAAAATTTCAAGTTATTGATTATCATTTTAAATCATTTTCCCTTTATTTTATTCTTGTTTAGAATCCAGAGGAAAATTGAAGACAGAAACGAAGCTCCTTTCCCCCGTGTTATTCACCGTTGATGTTGCTGACTTGCTATTGTCGTCGATGTCCCGGAGTCCAGCGTCCGACACACTCTCTCCGATCGGTGAACTTTCACCCACCTTGTGTAACGACCGAAATTTCGAAACAATTAAAACTTTTCAAAAACAATCCATTTTAATAACGTTGTTACAAAAAGGTTTCCAATACATTATTTAACAAAGTCCTTTCCCAGGTCCATTTCATAAAACACCAACGCGAGGAACGGTACGATCACGCCTTTGCCTTGCCACAGACTCCTGAGAACCTGAAAACATAAAAACCACAACTGTAAGCCCGAAAGCTTAGTGAGATACCCCCAAAATACCAACCACAAATACGCCCTTCCAGGCCACAACCTTCCGGTCCAAAACATATCGCCTTCCGGCCCATAGCATAATGCCTTTCGGCCCATAACACATTGCCTTCCGGCCCAGAACATATCGTCTTCCGGCCCGCAACATAAATAACATACATATCATCATAGAACAACCATGAATACCGGGTTACACTCCAGACCAGACAACCATGCACATAACATGTATTCATATAACAGTTCACAGTTAGCAAATCGATCAACATATCATTACCCTAACAAAAATACCAGCCTAGCCGATCACTAGCATAACATCACCCTACAACTCAGCCAACATAATAATTACGCACATACGCCTTTCTAGGCCATGACCTTCCGGTCAACATCGCATTGCCTTCCGGCCCACAACATGTAATGCCTTCCGGCCCATAACGTAACGCCTTCCGGCCCATATCCCGCAATATCATACAACAGATAATTACCCGGATTTCCATCCGATAAAAGGGTCGGCCTTGGTGCCTTAAACCCTATAGATATAGTGAGGATAACTCACCTCGAAACTGCCGACTGAACAGATAACCCAAGCTGCTCCGATCACTGATACGATCTCCACCACTGGACAGCCACCAATGCACTGAACTCAAAACCATAATCAATAATTACCAAAATACCCCTGGAAACCACTGGTCAACCCTTGGTCAAATACTAAGTCAAAGTCAACCCCTGACTGACCCTACTCGCCAAGTCAACCCTATGACTCGCCGAGTTCCCATACTCAAAACTTCACTCAAACCGCGGCCTAACTCGTCGAGTCACCCCGAGACTCGCCGAGTCCAACAACTCTGAGTCCACTCGCACATAACTCACCGAGTCATCCCTTGACTCGCCAGTTCTCGACTCAACCAAAAAATATTTGGACTCTTTGACAAGACTCGCCGAGTCTAAGGGTATCTTCAATCTACTCGCCGAGTTGTTCATCCAACTCGTCGAGTTCCAGCTTATCTTCAAGCAACTTGTCGAGTCCACCCATGTGACTCGCCGAGTACCACCGGTCTGCATCCAAACAGAAGCGTTCCATGCCATGCAATTGATCCAAAACATAGATCTAGCCTCCTACAACTCATCCATCACGTAAAGTGGCAATCTTTACGTGAATCCAAAGAGATCTATGCATTTTTCACATTAGGGCTAAGGTTTGGGACAAGATAGCTTCATCCAACACTCAACACAGGGACTTTCCTGCATTCCAACTCTCCTCCATTCCAAATCTGAGGTGGCAACCTCAGATCTAACCTCTAGATTCCAATATCACCCAAGATAAGCTTCCCTCAAACCCCAAAATGAAGAGACAAGAGAACAACAGCCTAAGAACGAGATATTACCTCAAAGGAACGCCCCAATCTGCAAGGAACTCGAATCCAAGCAAAGCCCCTTGCTCCACACCTTCAATTTTCCAAACTTCCTTCAACAATTACTTCTCCAAGCTCCAATCCACTCAACAATGGTGCTTCTCCACGATTTTAGGATTTCTGGGACTCAAGGGGGTGATAAAGAGGCTGGGGGGAAACATAATGCTCTTTATATAGGGCTCAACCCCAAGAATTAGGGTTTTCTCCACTCAGCGCCTACTCGCCGAGTCGGCTATTTAACACGCGACCAAGTCGTGAATCTACTCGCCGAGTCACTCTTTCCCAAATTACACTTTTAGCCCTTCCACTCAACTCTTGCTATTTCAGGATGTTACAATTCTCCCCCACTTAAATTAGGCTTCACCCTCGAAGCCTGCAGCAACTCAACTCCAAAGATACCCCCACACACGCCACCTGACCTTAACCGGACCGGGTCCCTCAAGGCATACACATCGAAACTCGAACACACTCTCCCTTCCCTTTACGGTGTCCTGACCACCGTCTCGAACCAGGCATCGATTGTACCCTCTGATAATCACACTCAATAACCGAGAATTACCCAAGATGTATCACTGTCCCAAATCTCAATAATCACTCGACCCATAAGGGTTAGAAAACCATGAATCATCGGATCCCTGATCCGAATCCCACTCTCTCCATTCCGGGACGACTAAGAGACCCATTCTCAATCTCAGAGCAACTCTCACAAGTTCTCCCCTTGCAACTGCATACACATGCTGAACTAGCTCTAACACCCTCAGGTTGGGTAAACCTGATACACTGATAATATCCTTAAACATCCCCCATGATAAACCACTAATACATACCCCATACCCTGATCAGAATCACACTGAGTGTCCAAGACTCTCTCCCTGCATCCCTTCCGAGCCTCTTGGCTCTACACTTGCGGAATTCCCTCCGCGGCCTCAGCAGACATCCCAAACCGGATGAGCTTCTATTCCACTGCCGCAAACATGCTGCTCAAAAACCATACTCGAATCACTCAAATCATAACTCTGCTCTACCGCTTTCCCTTCCCTGAACTTGCACTCCCTCTCGGAGTTACACCTCACTCTCTCTTCCTTTACCAAGGAAACCACTCGACCACATTGTCGCCCTGACAAGTGCCACGGTGCTCGCCCAACGCTACACCACCCTTTCATAGCGTATCCGCTATCCATCCAACACAACTACTCTGACTCTCATCGCAGGGACTCTCAAGCCCATACACTATCTCAACTCATCAAGATCACTACCCGGGGCCAGACCTTCTAATGCAAACACACTGCGACATACCCATTCCATATCCTCAAACCGATCCAACAATACCTGCAGAGTCTTCAACATGACTGGACCGTCTTACCAGGCCTTCAGCCCATTCTGGACCGCTCAACTAGCATTGAATTATACAAGACCCACTTTGTATTTTCTTTATAGATCTAATGAGAGCTTAAACCAGATTTATTTACTCCTTGTGTTCATGATTCTTCTAATGATTCACTAGATCTAATCAATTTCCCATATGTCATCATGTTTAACACCACTACAAAAAGTTATAGATTAGGGATCTGGTAGAGAGATGGTTGGGTGGAGGCTGGAGGTGGTGAATGCTAGAGAAGATGAAGGATGGTGGGTGGTTGTTGGGCACTAGGGTTAGAGAAAATGGAGTGGGTACCGTCTCTCCTAAAGATGATGAGGAAAAAATGCGCAATGGTGCAGCGATACGTCGATGGTGGTTTGACGTGGTGGAAAAGGTCGAACAGTCCCCAGATGTGGGTGTTTTATTGACAGATGGTGGTTCATGATGAAAAATATGGAGCACCCCGAATTTGGATGGTTTTAGGCAGGAGGAAGAGCAGTGTCTAGGGGTGTTGATGGAAGTGGTGTGTGGTATTGGTGGTGACGAAAACAGGTGGTAGTCATCGTTCTTATTTGAGGGGTTGGGAGCGGTGGAGGCATTGATTAGGCTTGGCGGTAATGGAGAGAATAGATGATGATGATTACAACTTGAAGTTGGGATAAGGGAAGAGGAGTAAAGGTTGAAAAAAAAATACATAAAATATGAAATCGTGTGCTAACCGAAAATAATGTAAAACTACTAATAAGTACTTAAATGGATATCATAATTAATATTTTATGATAAATTAGATCTAATAAATAATTATTGGTGGTTGTGATTGGTTCTTTTTATTTTCATATACTATTTGTGTTTACCTAGGAACCTACGTCTCTCTCTCTCTCTCTCTCTCTCTCTATATATATATATATATATATATATATATATATATATATATATATATATATATACTAGATGTGTACCCGTG